ACCGTTATTCCTGCTAAGATTTGACATTCGGTTCCAACATGACCAGGTACTCCACAAACTTCGCAGCTTGGGGTAACTGCAGCTACGGTAGCTACAGGAGGTAAGGTCAAGCTTTCTATCTTTTGGGTAAGAGCATCTACCTTAGCATTAACTTTATCTAGGCTACTAACCTCGTACATCCTGCCTTTGGCTTGAGTCTTCTCCACAGATGTTCTTTCTCCTCCCCACTGATAGTGGTTTTGAGCCATGTTTTCAATGAGTTGGTTAGCTTCGTCATAAGGCTTGTCCATCAGTGTACCACCTACGGCGGCATCTATAGATAGTCTTATGTTGTACAAGAGTCCATTATAAAACGTGTGGATTATCAGCCATTTTTCTAGTCCGTGATGTGGGCACATTCGCATCATATCTTTGTAGCGCTCCCATGCATCGAATAGTGATTCAGTATCCTTCTGCCTAAATCCGTTGATTTGGGCTCTTAGTGCAGCGGTTTTGCTTGGGGGAAAGTATCGTGCTAAGAATATGATCTTCAGTCCTTCCCACGTAGTGACGGAATTTGATGGCAAGGATTGCAACCAAGCCCAAGCTCTATCTCTTAGTGAGAAATGGAAAAGACGTAATCTAATAGCATCTTTACTAACACCATTTGTTATAACTGTGTCGGCAAATTGAACGAATTTTGTAAGGTGTTCATTCAGATCCTCAAAAGGATCTCCAGAGAATTGGCGTTGTTGGATAGCTGATATCAATGACGGCTTTAACTCGAAATCGTTTCGGTTTATTGCTGGAGCAGCAATGCTGTTATGGGGCTCTTGTTGTGATGGAGCTGCGTACTCCTTCAGTGGACGGGTCCTTTGTTCTTCGGCCATGTCTAATTCTGGATTGGTTTCGGTTTCAGAGGAAGAATTAGAATCAGTTTCAGAATCAATCTTAATTTCTAGTTTAGGTAAGGGAATAGCGTGATTTAAACAGTAATCCCTGACTGCACGTCTTACGGAAAGAATGCGTTCAGGTTCGTCCGTCGGTTTGTCAAGTGGTTCGCCTTGTGAGCGAGTCCTTGGCATACAAATCGACAAAGGGTGTTTGTTGCTTAGTCTAAACGCGCAACAGAAGAATCATAATTAATTGAATACCAGTCCCCGGCAACGGCGCCAAAAACTTGATCGGGACTTTATAAGTCTGTCGGGATACTAACTGCAAGTATACAGTTCAGTCGTTCTAGTTTTAAAAGATTATCGAACCCACAAAGACTGTGTATCAATCGCATACGATCTAATGCTACAGTTTTGTCTAACTAAGCGATGAATATTCGATATTTGGGGGAGACAATTTAGTTTTAAAAGTAATAGTACTAATTATACCGGTATGTGATAATCAGACTTAGGGAATTCGATGAATCGCTTGGCCTATAAAGTATTTCGGTAAAAGCTAATTGTTTAAAAACCTGAGACATACACTCTCGTGTTTATGAAATAAGTCATGCTACTAAACCTAGTGGATGCACTTTAAATTTAATAACACTTTTTGAAAACAATTTGAATTTAATTAATTTATTAAAACACTCTCGTGTATTTAAAAATCAATGCTTCGTTACCACTATCTGGGTTGAACCCCAGCTCTCGCATGCAGGTTCTTGCCTTAATTAATTTCCCACTCTCGTGGCAAAATCGTGTTAATTAACCTCTCACTCTCGTGATAAGGATAGTTAAATTAATATTGGAAATTGGAAAACAGAAATTGTTTTATAAATATTTTTGGCCAAGGTATCATTGAATTCTTTCAGTTCTTACGGTCACATACCGGTAATAATAATTTAGCCAGACATAATTAACTTAAAAGCAATAAAGTTTAGAATATAATTCATGGCAATAAATGGCATATTATAGAAACTAAATAAATAACAATTGCAATATAAAAAACCTGGAATTACAGATGCTATAGTAATCTTGAGGGAATACAGTAATCCAGATCTTCGAGCTTGACTTGCAGTAGAAATTCGTGTTAATTCTTGTAAGAAGAATTAACACTTAAAAATAGAAACTAAGGCTTGAATGAAAATTACAAGGATTGAAAGCAGAATTGCAAAACAAACAAATTAGAAATAACTGTAGAAATAAAATAAATATTTGCTGAGTAAAATTCTTCGACCCTTGGACTGTGCCTTGGTACTCATATATATAGCAGGAAAAATCAGCAGTTTAATTTTGAATTCTTGATGAAGTCTTCGTGGAGAAATTCTAGGAGCAGTAATAGTTGTGGCAATAAAATAGGAGATTCAGTAGAAATAGGGAGAAGTATTCTGCCCTTCACGCCCACGTCTTCAATTCATGCGTAACGTTCTCCTTCACGCGCGTGACGGTCGTCACAGGTGGGTGACGGTCGTCACACGCTGAAGTAGTGCCTTACGCTCGTCAGGTGTGTGTGTGTGATGAGCGTTTCCTTGTGTTGTGGGGTGTTATGCCCGTCACAAGGGCGTGACGACCGTCACCTATCCAGAAGTCCACACTTTGTATTTTTTTATTCTTTTTCTCTTTGTTTTTCGTCTAGCTTTCTTCATGTTGTCCTTTTTCATCGGTTTGAGTCGACAAGTGTCATACCTGCAAAAAGACAAATAATCTCGGGATAATCGAGGGTTAGACGACTTAATGGAATATAAAATCGGTAAAAAGTATGTTAATTATACGATATATTTTCTCGTTATCAATGTCCTACACTGAATAAGAGATTGAGACATGCAGGGACTCCTTGAGGATGAAGAAAATAAAAGACATGGATTTGATGATATTCTATACTGTCTTAGAGATTGAGATAGGCAGGAATGCTTTAGGGATTAAAGACCATAGAAGCAAAAAGAGGAATCCTTACAAGCTAGGGATTGTAACTGAGGGACAAGAATTCCTACAAGCTAGGAATTATGATCAACCAATGGGCGGTTGAGGAATCCCTACAGGCTAGGGGTTATTACTTACGAAAGATAAACCCTACAGGATGGGGATCGTAGTACACCGGAAGTAACCCTTGCGGGTTTAGGGATAGTGTAAATGGGACTTTATGAATGGTATCCTTAGAAGGTAGACTCCTAGTTTTGGCCTACGGTTAGTCTACCTTCCCCATAAGACGGTTTCCTTAAGGGTGTCATGAATAACAGTAGAGGGAAAGGCACAAGGGCCTCCTTTAAGTGGAGCCTCTTTGCAGACCGAAACTTTCGTCTCTAGGTCGTGAAAGGTCTCCTCATAAGTTTTTGGTTTTAAGGTCGTACAAAGATTCATAGGTGTCATTCCAAAGTCCTACTTCCCAAGAGGATATCTCTTGAGAGGTATTTCTTTTGCGGAATTCCACCGACTCTAGGCAAAGTCATCACATAAACTCATAGAGATGATGTATCCCCTTGGCTAATAGACGGACCTTCATTTTAAGTTTTTTTTTTGAAAATATTTTTGCGAAATTAAAACCCCACCATAGATATAATAATATGATAAAAATAAGAACAGATGAATAAATGAATAAATAAATAGTTAAATAAAAAATATAAAAACCCAAAATATAAGAAGAACCCTAAAACAATAAGACAAGGCTCCTAAACCTAGGGTTGAGTCCCCAACAGAGTCGCCAGCTGTTGCAACTGGTTTTTAAATCAGAGTCGCCACCCTTAATTTTTATCCTAAGGAAGAGAATATAAAGGTTAACCCTAAAAAGTCAGAGATTTTAGGTTTTCAGACTCGATCTTAAACGAAGGAAAGGTGTTAGGCACCCCTCATCTATCTTGTTCACAAGGATATTAGGTTTAGAAATGTAAATTTTAGGAAATATGGTTTTATGTTTATTAGGGGAGCTCGCCACGATTTTAGTCGTATGCCTACGTATCCTCTTAGGAGGAATTAGAGTCCTATATCATAGTTCGCGGTGTTTGGTTGGTGTTTTTATAGGATTGCGTGGAATTTCTTTCGAATTATCCTTGAACCTTGTTTGAGTTGTAAGTTGAGTGATCGTAGACGTAGTTCGCAGTTAATTTTGAAAGTAATTCCCCTTAATCCTTTTTCGAAAATATCTTGGGTTTTGATTAAGTTAGTAGAAAAAGTTTGTAATTGATTAGTTGTTTTAAATTAATTGATTGAAGTATAATAGGACACAAAGAGGGGTTAGGATATTAAGGCTAGGTGGTGTTCTGAAAGAAAATCCGGACCCAAAGATATTTTGAAGCTAAATTAGCTGAAGAATGTGTTTTGCAATAGGATAGTCAAATATGAGGGTTTGACAAGTGAGGGCCCAAGTTCAAATATTGAATTGGATCCAATTAAGCAACAGAGTTTAATAATATCTTTGTAAAATATTAAATTAATTAATTATGAAAAATGTTTTTTTTATTTTGTTTGGAATATATTTTGATATTTAATAAGTAATTTACATACAGTAAAATTAATCTTAAGTTAAAAATAATCTAATTTAACTAAATTATAAAACCAAAGAGGTGTAGGTTAAAAAGGGAAGTATGAATCAAAATTTGTACTAGAATCCTAACTTTCAAGGCCCAATCTTTCTAACCTTAATTCTATCTAAGATAACTAATTAAATTTTTTTTAAAAAGAATAAAAGAAAACAAACAATCTGTAGAAACACCCAAAGGGCCACACGACTCTACCTCTCCCTTATATCATTCTCCCATTTTAAAGTTACAAATCCAATCAACCGCTAAGTGACAAGTGGCATAAGATAATAATAATAAACATAAATAAAAAATAAATAAAGCACATGTTATAATAGAGAGAGAGAGAGAAACGTATCAAGCCATAATCTCTCTTTTTCTTTTCACGAGACAACAACAATTTTTCCTGTTTCTCTTCTCTTTCTCCCATAGTAAAAAAACAAGCATCCTCCCTTTCTTAAAACATCCATGGATTCAAACACAGTCAAATATATAACAACATAAAAGTATAAATAAGAAATTACCCACATGGATTCTCGATGGTCTCTCGTGGTGTCGTGATCAATGCTTGCAGCGGATGTGTGCGATGGGTGCTGGCCGAAATAGGGCTAGGCTGTGCGCAGAGAATGATGCAGGACTTTCTGGAGAGGTCTGCTTGATGGTGCTTCGCTCGTGTGGCGTAGATTCGGAAGGAGATCGTGTTGGTTGAGGGGATGGTCGTCGAAGAGGAGCGTGGTCGCGAGGTCGTGGGCTGAATGGAGGGAATTGTGGCTGACTGAGTTGCCTTTTGCGTTTGCGGAGGGGATGGGTGAAGGGAGGCTCCACGTTGGAGGAGGGTGCAACGCGGAGAGATGATGGTGCGTGGTTGGGTGAGTCTGCTCCGACTCAGAACTCTATTCCTCTTTCATCTTTTTTCTGCAAAAGAAAAAAAACAAGTTGTATAAATTATTGTGTTGCGTGTGTGTGATTTCAACATGTTGTTATTATTGTTTCTCTTTTTCTGCTTCCCCTTGAAACCACTTCTTATCTATTATTTTTCCTTTACTTTTCAAACCTGTGTCTAAATTGTGAAAAAAGTTGGCAGAATGGAAGTTGTACATGATTCGATCAAAGTTTATGAATATAAAAAAAGTGTGGTAATTATTTACCGTGTGATTCTAATGTGACAAAGAAATTGTAAAGGAGTATGTACAGTGAAAAAAAAAAGAGGTTTGTAAAAAATAAATGGTCAATTGCAATGAATTTGATACAGGATAAAAAGAAAATTTTCTGGAAGCAATAATATGTTGTGTAGACGTAAAAACAGTAAGCATTTAGAAAAAATTATTTGCAATTTTTTTTTGAAAATTGAGAACAAGCACTTTATATAAATTCCTATGAAAAACATTATTTTTCAAAATATAAACCATCGGAACATATGAGTCACACGGTTTAATCAACAAAACAAATTATAATTAAAAAAAATCAAAATATAAGTTAAAAGGGCGGGGCCTCATAATAAATCATCAGCCAAGAATAAAAAATTATTGTTGTGTGATATAGACAACAACCCTAGAATAAACCAAGAACAAGAATTTGAAAGAAAAAAAAAACAAGTTGTTGTGGATTCGTGAAGGAATTGTTGGTGAATTGTGTATCATTGTGTGTAAGTTTTGAGAGCTATTTATAAGTGGAAAAAATTAGGTTAAACCCCAAAAAAGAAAGTATCCAATACCCAAAGCTCAAATTCTCATCTTGACCAACAAGATTAAGAATCTGGATATATTTGTGTCAAGATACAAAATTTGATATAGAGAAAAATTGATTTGAAAAGATTTTATTTATTTATAAGGTATTTTGATATTTTTTAAATAAAATAATGATTTTAATAAAAAAAATAATATTTTTAAATTTAATAAATAAATAAATACGAACATAGTAATTTAATAATAAAAATATGATTTTTGTGGTTAGAAATAATTGAAAATGAAAATAAAGCTAGTAACAATAAACACCAAAAATATCCAAAGTGCACTAAGCGAGATTCAAACCCGTGACCTTCTGCTTGCAAGTCTATCTCCCTTACCAATTATGCTATGTTACTTATTTGAAGTAAAAAGTCAATTGAAAGTATATGAAGGCGAACAACTATTTGCTATTTTTAAAAATACAAATAATTATTATATTTTTAAACAGACTTGAAAGCAAATATTTATAAAAATAAAATAATATTATAAACACTGTTTAAAATATTTTTTACTGTAGAAATAAAGGACGGAAAAATTTGGGTATGACAGATAACAACCAAGGGAGGAGGTGGAAATGAGTTTGTATGAATGTATGTAAATGGAAATGCAATACAACACAGGTGTAGTATGAAGATAAATATAAGGGTACCCTACACGGGTTGAAGGATGAACCTTAGTTTCGAGGATTATGACAGACCTAAGGAAACTTGAACGGAAAGGAGGACCCTCTATATTGACTTAGAGATTGTGATAGACACAAGGAACTCCTTAGGATTATGGATAATAAAAGAGAAAGAGGAATCCCTACAAGCTAGCGATTATAACAGAGGGACATGAATTCCTACAGGCTAGGAATTATAATAGACAAATGGGAGTCCTATAGGCTAGGAATCATGATAGACCAATAGAAATTTGAGATGGAGGTTTAAATGAGGGAATAGCATGAAAGAGAGCATATGATGACCGTTCAACGGTCAACATATTCCATGGCCTTCTAGAGGCCATGTGGTGTACATCAGCGAGGACGTCCTTCGTGGGAGGGTTCCATATGGAGAATATGATCTTATAAAGGTTCTAAGGTCAGTGGCGAACAAAAGGGAATCCCTACTTGTTATGGATTATAACAAACAAAGGAAATTCCTACAGGATAGGACATATGCTATACCACAGGAAATTCCTACAGGCTAGAGATTAAGACTTGTAAAAGATAACCTGTAGGCTAAGTATTAAAACTTAATAAAGATAACCCCTATAAGATAGGGATTAAGGCTTACAAAAGATAATCCTACAGGCTAGGGATTAAGACTTACATAAGATAACCCCTATAGGCTAGGGATTAAGACTTATATAAGATAACCCCTACATGCTAGGGATTATGATAAACGAAAGGGACCCCTACAGGCTAAGGATCATGACATACAAAGGGAAATCCCTACAAGCTAGGGATTATGATAACCAAGAGGAAACCTTACGGTTTTAGGGTAGTGAATACCCTGTACGGGTTTAGGATAGTGAATACCCTATACCGATTTTATGATATTTGAAATGGGATTATAAAATATATCCTTAGTAAGCAGGTTTCTAGTTTCGTCCTACGAATATTATACCCTCCCCATAAGAGTAACTTCCTTAAAGGTATCATGGATAACACTAGAGAGAAAGGCACAAGGGCCTCCCTTAAGCAAAACCTCTTTGTAGATCGAGATTTTCGTATCTTAGATCGTACAAGGTCTCACCATGAGATTTTGTGTTAGGATTATACAAAGAGTCATTAGTCAAATTCCGAAGTCCTACCTCCTAGAGAGTCTAGCCCTCTAAAAGATATTTCTTGGAACTCAACTGACTTTAGACGAAGTCGCCACAAAAGCTCGTAGGGGTGTTTACCCCCATTGACCAATAGACAATCCTTCTTTCTAAAGTTTGATTTTATTTTTAAATTAAATCTCACAACAACAACATATAATATGATAAAATGAATAATATGAATAAATAAAAAAATACATAAAAATATATAAAAGTAAAACATACCAAAAATAGAAAGCACCCAAGAAACCCTAGACTTAAAAGATAAGGAAGACTCCAAACCCCAGGTTGTGTTCCCAGCAGAGTCGCCAGCTGTTGTAACCGGCAAAAAATATGAGAGTCGCCACCATTAAATTTCGTCCTAAGGACGGGAGAATAACGAATAACCCTAATTATTTAGCGATTCTATGTGCGTAAGTCAATTAGATGAAGGGAAGGTATTAGGCACCCTTCATCTCTCTTGTTCTCAAGGGGCTCTACTTTTAGGTCTATGGGGAGATTAGGAACTTCTGTTTAAAGGTATGTCATTGTTAATGTATTTGAGAAAAATGTTTAGTTTTTTAGTTTAGGGAATCGCCTTGGTTTTAACCGCGTGCTGTTGGCTCCTAAATTCGACACCCACGTTCTATTATCATATAGATCAGTAATTATGAGTTAGAAGAGTTTCCTACACAAGAAGGCTTCGATCAGTTGATCACATCGAAGGCTTATCAAAGAATGACAAGATACTTAGAGAAATTTCTCTAAGTTGGAATCATGTTGTTTTCAACGTCGAAGGAGCAACCTTTCGGCCAAGGTCCCTGATGCCCAAGATCGAACGGTTTGAATTTCGAACTGTTGGAGGGAAAATGGTTCCCAGCAGTTACCAAGCGCAACGTGGCGTGGAAGTAGGCGTCGAGGGTTGTGAACGTTCCATGTGGTGTCACCTCGAAGCGATGTAACTGCCCAGCAGTTACTTAGGATTTTTAGTATAAATACTAAGTGTTCACGTAGTTATTAGAGGTGTTCATCATTATATACAAGTCACTCTTTTAGATTCAAGTACCCAGCGTGAGAGAAAGAATCATTGAGAATGTATGTGTGAAACACCATTTACCTTAATCGAAATCTTTTACATTCAAGCAATTTATCGCTTTCACTTATTTACCTCAGTCGAAGTCATTTATTTAACAAGCCTTTAATGCTTTTATTTACTTTATCAAGCTTTTCTCCATGCAATTTACTTAAAGTGTCTCTACCTTACTTGCGTTAATCACCATTAGGATCAGCGGTTGTTTACCATTTTTCACGGTAAACACGTGCCTACGTACCTCTTTGCGAAGAATCAGAGTATAATTTCGTAGTTCGTATGTTTGGTTGGTATTTTTTATAGGATTGCATAGAATTGATTTCGAATTTATCCTTGAACCTTGTCTGAGTTTTGTAAAAGATTGATCGTAGAAGCACTTCGTAGTTTTGATTTGAAAGAAATGTTACTTAATCCTTTATTGAAAAATGATCTTGAATTTTGAATGATGTTAGTAAAAATGGTTTGAATTGTTGGCTAGCTGTTTTAGATATTTTGAGTTTGATTGGGATTGATTGAAGAAGAGCCAATCTTCATCAGAAATTAAGTCGCTCTAGGCGAAGAAATTTGACCCTGATTTATTTGTGAATTGTAATTATTTTAATTTGAATAATTATTCACTGTGATGTCAAGTCAGTCAATCAATTATTTGAAGATGAGACATACCTTTATTTGTAAAAATATAATTAAATATATTGTTCTTAGTATTATTATTGATTAAAAATATCATGAATCATAAAAATTATATATCAATTAATTAATTTCTAAAAAAACTAAATGTATAATTTTGGTGTTTTATAAAGCAAAATATCTAACCTACTAACTAAATAAAACATGAATATTTTATATTTTTATGTTGTTCGATAATTTAAAATTGACTTTATAAAAAAGCAAAAAATCTAAAAAGGGTGCTAATAAATTAGTGGAGAGTATAGTAAAGATCAAGTCTAATTTGGCCCGAGGCCTAACTAATAGATAACCCAATTTATACTAACCTCATCGACCCTAATTAGTGTTAGTAACAATAAGAAAAGGAAAAAAAACAATGAAAATAGCACATGCATTAGCGGCGGACTCCCTTGTGGAGATTCATTAGACTTTCTTCAATAATAAATAAAAATAAATAAAAAAATACCCCTGTCCTTTTAACTTATGACACGTGGCAAACAACAAAGAAAAAGAAAAGAAAAAAGAATAACCCATATCACTAATCCATGTATCAAAGTTAAATTTTATATCATTTAAAATAATAATTTTAATTATTTAAATTAAAATTGATATAAAATAAATAAAATTCAAATTAAACTTATAATTTAAATATTCAAATATAAAAATTTAAATTATCATCATTTAAAAAGAAAAAGAATTATTAAAATAACATAAAAAGAATTAAAATAAATTAAAATAAAACCTATAAAATTAATTATTTTTTATATTTATTATTGTCATAATCGAAGCAACATTGCAAATGATTATTATTATTATTATCCGCCATGCTTTCCAGCTCCAATGATATTTTGTTGAAAAAGATAGCGTTTCTTTACAATTCATGCTGGTGAACCAAGTTTAAAAACCTCTGTTGGAGGTGCTCTTATTTCGCTTCAGACTGTGCAACAACACCTCTCAATCATTTTTCTTTCAATCTCAGAACAACGTTTTCACACACAAAATTAGAATCGAAGAAGAAACACATACTAAACTCAAAGGCGGTGGTGGTACTGTGCGTGACTGGAGGTTTACGCAGAGGGAGGATTGACGGTGGTGGTAGCTTTCGTCGGTCTGAATCGGAGGGCATGGAGATGACCGATGGCGTGATGTCGAGGCTTCCGGTGTTGAGCGACGCTGGAGGGAGATACCGAAAGGAGAATCGCTGGCGGTCGGAGTCTGTGATGCGTGGTGGTGCGGATCCGGTCTAGGTAGAGGTTGTGGCACGGCCGGAGTCGGCTGTTTTTGATCAGTGACCGATGGAGCTCTTTTTCTTGAAAAAATAAAAATAAAAATTCCATTGTACTTGTTTGAGTTTCATGGTGTGAGTTAGAGGTGCTGATCTTTGTGTTAGTAAATGGTGAGTTTTCTTTGTGAATATTTGAATTATTGTTTAAGGTTTATGGAATTCGCTTAATCGTTAATGGTATTGTTTCAAATCCCCATGCTTTTGTGTCGATTAAATGATGATGAATGGTGATGGATTTTGGTTTGAAGAAATATGAAGAGATAATGAGAGTAGACTATGAACTTCTTTCTTTTATATATTGTCCAACTAACTTTTAAAATGAGATACAATGTGATTTATATAGAGTCACATGATAAAATACTTAAAGTTACAATATTTACTATTTCTAGGTCCCTAAGAAATATATTTTTCACTGCCCAAGGGAATCTGACTTTTGATTTACCCAAGACTGATTTAAATTTAACCAACAAAACTCCCCGATAAATTCAAATATTCCTTCGATCCATCATGCCTAGCATTTTGTTGCCTCTGTCGAAAATCTTCTTCGACAGTGGTTTTGTAAGGATGTCTGCTGTTTGATCTTTGCTTGCAACATGCTTCAGTTCGATGCTTCCATCCTTCACATGTTCTCGAATAAAATGGAATCGAACATCAATGTGCTTACTTCGTTCATGGTTGACTGGATTCTTCGCTAGTTCGATTGCAGATTTATTGTCAACTTGAATTATCGTTGCGTCTTCCTGTTTCGATTCCATCTTGCTCAACAATCTTCTTAGCAATATTGCATGGCATACACACCAGGATGCTGCTACATACTCTGCTTCCCAGGTCGAAAGAGTTACAATGGGTTGGTTTCTTGACAGCCAGGTGAAAGCAGTGTTTCCCATGAAGAGTACATATCTTGAAGTGCTCTTTCGATCATCAATGTCACCACACCAATCGCTATCGGAGTAGCCAGTTAACTTGTATTCTTCTGCTTTTGAATAAAACATTCTAAGTGACACAGTTCCTTGGACATATCGAAGGATTCTCTTCAGAGATTTCCAGTGTGCAACAACTGGTTCTTCCATGAAACAAATCACAATTCCAACACTCAGCGAAAGATCTGGCCTTATGCATGTGAGGTATCGAAGACTTCCCACCAAGCTTCGAAATTTGTTTGCTTTGACACACTCTCCCCCATCATATTTCGAAAGCTTAGCTCCTGGCTCCATTGGTGTCGAAATGGCATTGCAGCTATCCATCTTAAATCTTTTCAGGATATCTTTTGCATACTTTTCTTGTGAGATGAAGATTCATGTTTCTTCCTGTTGAACCTCCAAACCAAGAAAGTATTTCATCAGGCCTAAGTCAGTCATCTCAAATTCTTGTGTCATGTGCCTTTGAACTCTTTGATCATCTGATTGTTGTTGCCCAAGAAAATTAAATCAACATTGAGAGAAACAAACAACATTTTCTCTTTTTTCTTCTTCACATACAAGGCGTGTTCGAAGGGACATTGCTGAAATCCATTTTCTTTGAAGTATGTGTCAATTCGAGTATTCCATACTCGTGGTGCCTGCTTCAGCCCATAAAGAGCCTTCTTTAGCTTTAGCACCTTTCCTTCATTTTCGATTTTCATGAATCCAGGGGGTTGTTCAATGTAAACTTCTTCTTCGAGCATGCCATTTAAAAAGGCTGACTTGACATCCATCTGATGTATTTTCCATTTGTATTGAGAAGCTTGAGGTATGAGCAGTCGAATAGTCTCCATTCTCGCAACAGGTGCGAAGACTTCATCATAATCGATTCCTTCTTTATGCTTGTATCCTTTCGCCACAAGTCGCTCCTTGTATCTTTCGATTTTAGCTTGTGCATTTATCTTTTTCTTAAACATCCACCTCACACCAATTATTTGAATTCCTTTTGGCAACTCTTATAGTTCCCAAGTATCATTGCGTTCGATGTCCTTAATTTCTTCATTAATATCATCCTTCCAATTTTTGTTTCTTATTGCTTCTTCGAAACTGACATCTTCAGTGTCTGCCAACAAGCATACGAGATGCACTTCTTCTGTGTTTTCATACAAGTCTTGTAAACTTCGCAACCTGGGCTGTGAGGGTCCTTCTTCATCATCAAAGTCTTCTGGTTCTGTCGAAGTATTTTTCGATATAGCATCTGGTACTTCGACCACAACTTCAGTATAGTTGTTCCAGTCCCACTTGCTTTCTTCGTTTACTAGAACCTCTCTACTTACTATCACCTTTTTGTTTATTGGGTCTAAGAGTCTGTAACCTTTCGTTTTCTCATCATACCTAATGAGTATGTATTTCTGACCCTTATCTTCCACCTTTGTTCTTCTTTGATCAAGTACATGTGCATAAGCCACACTTCCAAACACTTTGAAGTGAGAAACAATTGGCTTTCGACCACTCCAAGCTTCTTGAGGTGTTAAATCTCCCAACTTTGAATGTGGACATCTATTCTGAACATAGATTGCACATTGTAATGCTTCTGCCCAAAACTCCTTCGACATGTTTTTGCTCGTCAGCATTGATCGAACCATGTCAAGGGCTATTCGATTCTTCCTTTCTGCTACACAATTTTGTTAGGGGTGAGTAAACTGCAGTAAGAAGTCTTCTTATGTCTTGCTTTTCACAGTACTTCATAAAGGCTGTCGAAGTATACTCCCCACCTCTGTATGATCTAAGGACTTTGATTTGCTTGTCTATTGCTTTTTCAACCATTGTCTTAAACTTCTTGAATACTTCGAAGGCTTCTGACTTTTCTTTCAGAAAATACACCCAAGTTTTCCTTGAGAAATCATCAATAAAGGATATAAAATACTTTTTGCCACTAAAGGATTCTAGGGTAATTGGTCCACATATGTCAGTGTGAATCAATTCCAGAATTTGTTTGACTTGATATTCTGCCTTCGATTGGAATGAGGTTCTCATCTGTTTTCCAAACACACATTCTTCACAGAATTTTCCTTCAAATTCCACGTCTGGCAGTCCATGCACCATATTTTTCTTTGCTAACCTCCTTAGTTCAGCTTGATGTAAATGACCAAAACGTAGATGCCACAGGGATGCTTGGTCTTCGACACTGACTTACAAACACTTTTCTCGAATGCTTCTCAAGTTCAACTTATACATTCGATTTATCCCCATTTCGACTTGAGCAACCAAATGTCCTGACTTGTATTTTAATTGCAAGCTTTGATCTTCCATTAGAATCGAATAACCCTTTTCTGTGAGTTGTTCTAGACTCAAAATATTTGCTTTGAGTTTTTGTACATAGTACACTTCTTGGATAGATCCTATCAAATCATCCTTCCACAAGAAACTGATTGTTCCTTTTACTTCGACCCTTACTTTCGACGCATCTCCAAACGAAACATGACCATCTTAAATTTTCTTTATTTCTTTGAACAAGTGCATATGACCACACATATGGTTGCTTGCTCCTGAGTCCAGGTACCATATAGTGTCATTTTCTACATATGCTTCCTTTTGAGTCATTAACATAAATCCTTCATTCAATTCTGTTTCTAGGGCAAGATTTTTTGTTTCTTCTACCTTTCTTCTGAGACGACAAACTTTTGCAAGATGTCCCATTTTATCATAGTTGTAGCAACTGTAGGAGTTGCAATATTTCACATAGTGCCCGTATTTATTACATTTGTAACATTCGATATTGTTGTAATTCGATCTACCACCTCTCTGGCCACATCCTCTGCCACGCCAGTTTTGTTGGCTTGCCTGTCCTCTGTCGAAGTTATTATTTTGGTAAGTTCAACCGCCATTACGTCCTCCACGACCATGTCCTCTCCCACGCCAATTTTGAGAGAAAAATGCCTTTTCGTCTCTGTTGGGTTCTGCATCCTCAAGTGCCTCCTCCTTTTTCTTTATTTTGGGTTGTTCATGTGCCTCAAGCGAACCAGCCACTTCTTCGACAGTGATTGTCGAAAGGTATTTTTCTTCTTCTATTGTGCATACTATGTTTTCAAACTTGTCTGTCAAAGATCTCATAATCTTTTCGACAATACGAGCATCCGACATTGCTTATCCATTTCGATTGAGTTGATTTGCCACTATCTACACACGAGTGATGTAGTCCTATACGAACTCTGTCTCCTTTATCTTCATTCTCTCCATTTCTCCTTGAAGAGTCTGCAATCAAACTTGTTTGACTCTATCTGCTCCCTTGAAAGCTTTTTCGAGCGTGTCCCACGCCACCTTCGATGTAGTCGAACCAGCAATCTTTTCAAAAACTGATTCATCGACTTCTCTGAACAGCATGTACAATGTTGTTTTATCCTTTGCTCGCGTTTCTTTCAACGCCTTTTTCTGAGAAGTTGTGTTTGCTGTCGTATTTGATGGTTCTTCAAACCCATTATTAGTTACTTCCCATACATCTAACGATCCCAGTGGCGCCTTCATCTGGATACTCCAGTTCTCATAATTCGACTTTGAAAGTCGCGACAGTGGAATTTGTCCTAACATATTTTCCATGCGCTCTGATACCAATTTGAAGAAATATGAAGAGAGAATGAGAGTGGACTATGAACTTCTTTTCTTTATATATTGTCTAACTAACTTTTAAAATGAGATACAATGTGATTTATATAGAGTCACATGATAGAATACTTAAAGTTACAACATTTACTATTTCTAGGTCCCTAAGGAATATATTTCCCACTGCCCAAGGGAATCTGACTTTTGATTTACCCAAGACTGATTTGAATTTAACCAACATGGTTTGTGTTGAAAACACATGTGCTATCTAGAATTTGGAAAAATTTGGTGTGTGGTTAGATTTATGGCGTTGAATGGTTGTGAAGGAGTTGTAGTGTAATGGGTTTGTGTGTATTTTTTCACAGGTTGTAGTTAATGACCTATTGCAAAAACAGATATTTATGGTTCTATTTTGAAAAAGATAAATATGTACGAGTGTGAATAGGTGAATAAAAGTTATGAACACGGAAAAAATGACTTTTGAAGAAACATATGCATATGAAAATCATGGAATATATATATATATATATATATATATATATATATATATATA